TATATACAAAAATTGATGTTATTATCCAAACAAGTTAACATCCTGGGCTACATGGATGGTGTAATTAATTACTACAAACCCTCAATTGGTTTATGATTATTAAGGCTAGTTTTCTTTTACAATCTGCTAAACCATTATATTTCTTTTAAGTTGTATACATATTTTAAATCAAATGGCTCTGGCTACATCTAACAGATAAAATAATAACTTTGATGTTGCACCAGCTGCGCTACCTGAAATAATATTTCCTAAAAAGAAAAGGATCTTTTCATTCAATGGATCTTAAGTTAATAATAATAAATATCCAAAAGGGTAGAAAATCTATTTGTAAGCACAGTTTAGAGAGAAGTTCTAACCTTAGATCATAGATTATCTAGAAATATTGGCAAAACTAATTCCCTTAATAAGTGAAAATGCACTTAATTTTAGGTGGCTATGATACTCTGTATATGGTTTTTCTGAAACTTTTAACATACCACTTATTTGATATTATCCTTATTATTCAACTTTGGTCTCATTATCTCATATGGATTATAGTCATACCTCCTATCATAAGAGCCTCTTAATCTCATGATAAAACATTATAATATGTATAAAACTCAAACTATTTGATTTGTACTTTGAGTAATTTACTAAAGATCAACAAATTGAATTGCAGCAAGATTAATATCCTAATTAAAAAAAAATATTCAATTGATAATTTGATTAAAACTTCTATATCATTTACCTACTGAACTACTGAAGGCATATAATAAAAAATCTTAAAATGAAAAATCTTTAAAAGGATAATTCTAAAAATAAAATGGAAATAAAAAATGTTAGTAATGAACATAAAATAGAGAAGTAACATCCTTAAATATTCAATAAATAAAACTAATTTAATGAGTTTGTTTAATTTTGGTTGATTTGTTGGTACTTTAAAATGGTAAACTTCCAGTCCTGATATAGCAATCATAGAATAAATCATAATATCATTTAAAAGCATTATTTAAGTTACTTTTTATTTGGAAGTTTCAGATAATACAAAAGGAGTGCCAAGACTGATTTAGATCTGATTTCGAATCAAGTCTAAATCAAATTAATTTCTTATAATTGATTAAACAAATTCTATCTATAGTACAGAATTTTGTACAGGTTCTATGAAATCAACTGTAATCTAATATAATGGATTGCTATATGTAGTTGATAGATTTAATATTGGTTTTACATTTATAGGTGCATGAGTTTATGGAATAATTGAGATGACTGCAATTTCTTCAAATTTTAAATCAGACAATAATTTAACATTTTAAGTGAAACTTAATTAAATCAATTAAGTTTGATTAGTTTACTAGAGAGACTAACTAAAATTAAGTCAGGAGGTAAAATATAAGAACAAATGCTTGATGCATTTTCATAATTTTGACACTAATAGAAATCTTCTTCATTACAAACAGATGAACATCCATCTCCTCCAAATTAATTACCTTCATCACATTATTCATATTTTGAGTTAAGGATGCCATTCCCACATAAAGATACACATTGAAAGTCTATTAATATTTAATTATCATTGCATCTGGGAACGATAACCTCAACAATAACTTCTTCATTTATATCTTCCTAATCATCAATTAAGATTTTATTCTCTCAACATGTAGCTGTTTCATTAATCATGGTAAATTAATTATCGCACTTCTTACAACCTTATCCTTCATCACATTCAAGACAACCATATGAACATTAAAATTAACATTAATAACATCCATCATAAGGTAAATATTTACCATCATCGCATTGTTCACCATTAATCTAAATGATTCCATCTCCACAAAATCCTATACATAATTATGAAAAGCATTAATTAAGAACATCGTCCCAAATGCAAATTTA